ATCATTCAAAGATCCACCAGCGAGAAGATCAATGGCGCTCATATTGGCGAATTCAGAGGTTTTTCCATTCAAAATCCTGAGAACAATAGAACGTTCAATGCCAATTGGGAGCGGGTACGTGACACAAATGTCATCAACAACTTTTGACTCTACCTGAAATGAACTATAGAAGCTTAGCAAATACATCGCTATAAATTAGAATTGTGAAAAGATTGGTGATAAGCGGAGTAGAACGAACCAGGTTAAGGAAAAAAGACATAAATGGATGGCCTAATATATCTTCAATCCCACCAGGATTTCTGCGCCGAAGTCCTACTTCAATGTCACGGACCCTGAAACATCTTACGAATACCTACAGGAAACATGCAAAAGCAGCATTTAAAAAGCTTAGATAATGGTTGCTCTTACCTATAGATCAAATAAACGGTAATGATTTTGCTAGCAATGTCATCTGTAGGCGCTAAATCGTCGTAAATCGCCAACAGTGCCATTCCAACCACAAGCGAACATCGCTCTTTGAAGATCTATTTAAGGTTCTCAAATAGTGAAATCCATGAATGAAACCAACTTATATCATTACCTCAACAAACTCTGCAGCAATCTTATTCAATGGCTTTGAATGACATTTGATCAACCTTAACAATGAACGCTTAAACCTTAAAAGAAGAAGCGGAATTTTTTTCCAAACTTACCTAATGATATCTGTAGCATACTTTCGCGATAAACCGCACCCATCGTCATTGGCATTCTCCACCAGGTCGTCGAAATCATCAGGTACATCTTTGGCTTTGCCTTTTTTCTTCTGAACTTTTTTCTTGCTACTCATCTGAAACTTCAACTATGAAAAGCATTACAACAGTCAGTTTCAAGAAAAGATGCTGAAAATCGTGATCAAAACCCACATCACGACACTCTCATTTGTTGAAGGCAGCCCGTGGCTGTCCCTCGCATGAAAGGGAAGATCTAAGCTTAGCCTGTCCGAGACTGCACGAGGAGGTAAATAGCGCGGAAACATGGACGACTTCAACTTTTATTACTGGAGCACGAGTTCGAAATAGGGCAGACATTTGTACGACCGCTTTTTGATTGGAAGCGTCGCGAATTTTTACAAAAAATTTCTGTGAGTGTAGTACGGAGGGTAAGGGAAGTGGGTGTAGCGCGTTCCTGCGACCATTGTTCCTTTCCCTAGATTCCAACAGAACTCTAGCTAGGCGGCACATGTCGGAATGCTGAATGGCCACGTCTCGAAAAACTGGCAAAACTGTGTAAAAAGGAGATCCAGACGATATTGGCAACTACTTCACAATCTGCCTGCTGTCTGTAATCTACAAATATTTCACACGCGTCATCCTTAACAGGATTGGCAGAATATTAGATGAAGGACAGCCATGCGAGCAAGCAGGGTTTTGGAGAGTGTTCAATATAGTCGATCATCCACATCGTCACAAGACTCAGTGAAGTATCGCAAGAGTAAAGGTTGCTGCTATGTCCGACATTCGCCGATTGACAGAAGACCTTACTTACCGTCAAAACTGAAGCGGTCATTGAAGCCTTGGGCAACGAGAATGTTCCTATATGAGGATGCTTCGTGAGCTCTATGAGGACTTCACACCAAGGACTTTGCCATTCTACAAGGAAGTTACTATCAGCATGGAAAAAGAGGTTCGGTACGGCGATTTCACGTCACGCAATTGATTTCAGGTTTCACGATGCGCGTTGTACAGCAGAGCTCAGTCACAAAGCTCAATGCTGTCTAGAAAGGGTAAGTATTTTAAAGGCACTAATCACGATATGTTTGGGTGCTCTTTTTAGGTTGAAAAGCGGAAGTGTTAATGTGGACGAGTACATTGGTAGCGAAGAAAGTGAAAAGATCAGCCTACTTTAAGGCTTTTTAAAAGTAGTGGAAGTGAAGGTTGTACGAGATCACCGTGACGGGAATGGCTTGTAAGGGGGGACGGTACGAACGTGCGTCAGAGGGTACGCGCGGCAAATTGCGCGGGCAAGTTCATGGCGATTTGTACGACTGCGGCGCCAATTTTTTAGGCACGAACTCGAAGTAGTTTGTAGTTTTGTAGTTTAGTAGGGTCGGATGGCCCTCCTAATCCACTCTATTCCAAGTTTGGGTCCCAATGATAGGCGCCAAAGTCGTTCAAATCATTACGAACTTCGCCGCGCAATTTGCCGTGCGCATTCTCGGATGCACGTTCGTACACATACCCGGCTTGTAAGAGGGTCTGGGTTACAGTTAACTTGCTCCCTTTGCTTAAAGAGATGACTACACCATGCCGATCGCCATGGGTTATGGCAAATTGTTTGAACTTCCTACATGAGAGTCTCTTGTGATGGTGCAGCCTCTGCAAAGCCGATGAAACTCGTCCACTATGGGTGTGGCATTCACACGATACAATCTTTAGCCCCCTATTCGGCCCTGCCCAGGACGTTTTTCGACCTTATAACGGCAGGTATGGTATAAGGGGAACCTAGAATTCATACTATGGGGAAATCTCAGAGACCATTTTTATCGGGAACTGTGCCTTTAGGAAATCATGGAATATCTGCTGAGGGCCTTTCCTTCTGGAGATTACCTTTGAGGAGGCCCATTTTGACCAGAATCTAACGTAAAAATGGCACAGGGAGTAGCCTTTGAAATGACGTTGGTAGATTTGCATGCATCCCATTTTTTTTCAAACTTCTAACAGAATCAGCTATTCTAACATTCTAATGCAGTTTTTAGTTAATAGAAAATAACTTGGAAACAAATTAAGCCAAGGTGTTCTCACTCACTTACTTACTTACTTACATATACGGCTCGTCTTCATTCATGCGCGAGCACCAGCAACAAATCACGCGATCGTGATCCACGATTGCTTCGGAATCTGATGAGGTTGAAGATGACGATGTAAAGTGTCATTCAGCTGCATCAGCAGCTGAATGACTGGTCGCGTCCCCCATTCCGCAGTGACTTCCCTTAAGCCACGGAAATCGTACAGGACTCATTCAACGACTGTCATCAATTCTTTCGTAGTATGACCCGCTATTGAGGTTTTCACCGGACCCATTCGATTTTCTTCATGCATTCCACCGGGTCGCAAGGGCGAGACGTTCTCGCATATCAAAGCTGTTCGGCTCGATGATGAGTAGGCCGTTTAAACCTCAAAGGATATCGCTCGAGGCTTCCGTTCAAAGCCCTTGACGTGGGTGCACTGGAAGTGAACAACCATGTTTGCGACGCGTAACAGAGCGCAGGGGAAACTGTGGAATCGAACAATCTAGCGCGAATCAGTCAGATGGTTGGTGACTCTTTTCGAAGGTCCGAAGGCCGCCCATGCTGCTTTCTGCTGTATTCCTTTATGTCGTTGGCCATGGCCATGGAGCGCCGGAGATGAACATAAGACAAGTTCTTCATAATAGGGTGTAACATCGATCCCAGTTTGATCTCTCCCATGCATTCTTCATCAACTGCGTCTTTGTTTGGTTGATCCGCAGCCATAGCTTTCTTCCTGCCTCACTAGGTGTAATCTATGGAGCTGAATCTTTTACGGAGCAGCCTGTTTGCTGGTTGAGCTTCATCCAACGATCCCGATATGCGGGTTCGCATGTTCTTCGTGCAAAGCTTCTAAGGGTCACTCGACAAGGTCATTGGACTGTAGGTGCGGAGATCATCCTGGTTTTCTTTCTTGTGACAAATAACCACGCATTCTTCCTCTGATTGCGAACCTTTTTGGATTATGATGTTATGTGTGTTGCTAGAAGCGCACGAAATTGGCCACCTGCGCGGATTAGGTCGGATGAACCTTATCGGAGCATGCAATAGTTTACCTTTCCATGCTAGCAATCGTTACTTTCAAGGATCGTCAAGGTGCTGTTTCTAAACTGAGCATTTTGGATTTCGCACATGTGTTGTGGATAGGTACGGGTTGGTGTAAAACCTCTGTGTAATTTCCTCCATCTCAAATCTTGATGTTGTGAAAGTTCCTCCTTTTTCAAGATGGAAGTGAAATGATGTGGTCCTGGTGATCCCGTCGGCATTTCTTCGAGGAAGCTTGGCCTGTTCAACACATACTCGTCATAGTTTTCGGTGGGTCATCCATGACCTGCCACTCATCTCTGGACAAAACGTCACTCATAGCGTCCCTCCAAGTACAGCTTCTTCGAGCTCTTTGCGCAATTTTGAGAAATAAACAATCTTACTAGACCATCAAATCAGTTATTCGGGTGAAATATGCGCAAAAGATCATCAACCTTACGAATACCCGCAGGTATTTATCGCTTTTGTTCATAATTTAGGTTCAATATATAACGATGATAAAAATGGATAAATTCCTTTCTTTATTGCGGAAGTGAACGGAGCTGTTATCTTATCGGAGATGGCCCGTAGAAGGCAAGTATCACTCGAAAACGTGTCGCAACTGGCTCCATAGCCTTTTTTCCAGAAATTATGGAACAAGTCTATTCTTTTTGTCTTTTCGGTCCTCAGTTAGTAGGCCTTCATCCTGACTATATTTCTTCAGTTAATGCTTTTGTTATTCTCTTTGGTTCTACCATCGTTTCAACGCTATTACAACCTGAATTGTTCCTTCGATTTGTTCGATGGCGTTCTCGTACATTACAACATTAAATTTCAGATGCTTGTCCTAGTTCTTTCGTTGTTGACCACAAGTGTCTTTTCGTTCTCGTGTAAGGATCAAAACAATAAGGATGTCGATTGGTAGGTTGCCGTCATCGAACATAAAAGTAGAACTTTAAAGGGAAAATGAGCAAAAGACTCGCGAAGGCAATTCTCAGGAAGTACCCCAAATTAGAAACTAGTAGTTCTGACTACAGATCTCAGCTGTTCTTGCCAGATCATGCATTTTTTTTTGTGAAAAAACTCGTAGTGATGGACTCCAATACGAGTAGCACAGCGTGCGAGTGGCAAAAACATACGCCACAACATTCCTCAGCAATGTGACTGTTCTGAATAACTTCATAACATCGATAGTGCTAGGAATTCCTCTTTAAAAGAGCCAAAAATGTCAAGTGAACTGGATAATGTCAGGGAAGACCTTCATTGGGTTTTATCTAGGATTGCTCGACTTTCGCTAAAATTTCGCTCCCACCAATACTTATAAGGGGAGGGGGGAGAGGGTTTAGAAATGGCTTCAAAACAAATTTCTTCGCCGTCTTGATCTGAGATAAGCTAATGCTACCCTCTCCAAGGCAAATTTCTTCAAACGACGGCAAATCCGTGCTGTCAGTTTACCGTATGTTCAGTAGCTTTTCTGCGAGCAAACTGATGAGTCAAACAGGGCGAGAAGAGATACCGTTATCACGGTAGGCCACATCATAACCACTTCTAAGTGGACCTCTTATAATAAAGGACAAGGTCTTGGGGCTTTGATCAATCCATTCAGGTAGATGAGCCCCCACATTCGACTTCCATTCAGAAACGTAGGGCTGTATTGAATGCGTATGTGGCCTATACAATGAATCGCGAGGGTCAACTGATGTACAAGTCACTGCTTTTATTATCTCAGACGCGTCTGGTACCAATTGTCCGACCCCGGAGGAATGGAAGGCTTGGTTGGCCTAGACGTATATCGATCCAGGATTCGAACCCGTGAACATGCATGTGTGAATTACGCCTTTGCCACCACACCATTTCCGCACGGTTATAACTGCTTTGTGATCTATTGGGGCTGTGTGGAGACTGTACTAAAGCTCAGTTGGTTTCGTAGGAATTTTGGACATCTCCCAGTGCATAACCGAGCTGTTTTTCCCCGCGAACGCTGGGACAGCTTTAGATGACTAATTTTGTAGCATCTTGAGTGGCTCGAACGGTCCCGAAGAAAAGACCGTAATGTCAGTTGAATAAATTTGCCACTGCAAATATCATTTGCCAGCTCATTAAGTGAAAGCTATGTAAACTGCGAAGGCAGCAGTTATTCATCCGACCAATGTTCTACTTTCGCTTCTCTTAGAAGGTATATTGATGAAGATGAAGTTCAGCAATTTTTCACTTCGACATATTTGTCTAGCGGCATAGGAATCTTCTAAATTTGGGAAAAAATCAACTCATTACTCAACAATCAAAAAATCACTAGGTTATCGGTGGGTCGTTTCACATCCTAGAGAGTGTATCCAGCCAAATAGCAGTCAATGTGCAGTTAGTTCCTTAATACACATCACCAGTATTTTAAATGGAACTAGACCTTCTTCAGGTTCGCTGTCTATAAAATGCCAATTGAAAAGGGGGACAACTCGGTGCCAGGGATTGGAACAGGTGTCGCATGGTACTACCTGGATTCCAACAAGAAAGGGGCACTCCTACCATCTGAGAAAACACTCGATGATAAAGACCAGGTAATAATCAGATTTTTAGAATGTTTAACTTCACGAACTTCTTAGTTTTTGTAAGTCTAAGGGTAGTCATCACAAGTATATCTCCTATCCCGTTGTCTTCCGGAAGTACGAGGCAACAATAAGCTCGTTTCGTTAAGGCCATCGCCTACACATTGAACCAGTTCTATGAGAAGCGTACTGATCCAACCATATTCCATATCATGTACAACGATGAGGTGAGAATCTGACCGTAGTCCTTTACTTCTAATTTCTATAATTGATATCGTAACCAAGGGCTCTGTATGAAAAACAGAAATCAAATATTACCTCTCCAGCCATACAACAGTACTTCATCACCACTTCTGGATATGCTCACGTCAAATCGGATCGATGCAGCTACCATACAGTTTGGGCACACGAAAGGTGAATTTGAAGGGCCGAGCAAGTTTTTTGTGGAGCTTTTCTCCTTGAAATTCTGCTGGTCATGGAATGGTATAATTCCTGTGTAAATGATCAAATTTTTCCTGAAATGCACTGAAAGATGGGGCATAACACTCATTAATCAGGTACAATGTTCTTTGATGGAAGTGATGGTGTATGGCTGATTCATAGCGTTCCTAAGTTCCCACCTCCGAGTCATTATGAATATCCATCAAGTGGACATGATTACGGACAGACGATGTGGTGTCTTTCCTTCCCGTACTCTCAGCTTGGAAAAATAGGTGAGTCGAAGTGCAATTTTCTTTTCTGTAGGAATCAT